TAAATCAGTATTGTTTTGGGACGTAATATGCTTTGAAACTCTTGAAGTGATAGTTTCAAAAACTTAAGGACAGTCTGAGAGCACATATTCCTATTGTTTTAAATAAATACATGTTTTTGAATAGTGAATTCAATCATGGATTGTTGACTATGTCTTCATCAAAAGTATTAATCCCTCTCAGGGTCTCTAGTGAAGACCTTCAAGAGTTTGGTTTTTTCTCCCAGAAAATTGGAAGGTAGAATTGTAAATTCATAGAACTTATTTTATAATGGTGTACCTCAGCAGCTGCCTTTCAATTTATGCCAAGTCCTTACTGAGTTTATACTTGAATAGTAAATATGTCTTCTAAGTTTTACAGTGTCTTAAACTTAATGCACATTTTTTTCCTTCCTTTCCCACCCTTTCTTGTTTATAGCTCATTAAATTGTTATATTACAGAGCTGATTTCCTTCCTGGCCGTACTTGTTGGGGTGCTGGATTTTTTCCATGTCTTTAGTCTTCCGTAAATCAAAAAAATATAAATATATATATATATATATATATTCTCTCTAGCTTGTGGTGAATATAGTAATTTGCATTGAAGAAATAAAACATTTGTTGCCTTTTTTTGACTAAGACCTTACAACTTTCATTGGTGCCTTCTGCAGATGCTCCAAGACATTTACTTTTGGTATAAGGGCTATTTTCCAGGATGAGAGAATCAAATATTAGAATTAAGAAAGGTTAATCACTGAATCATCCAGCAGATCTTTACTGAGCACCTAATATGCTCTGAGCACTGTGCCTATATGGAATACAAAATAATTTGTTCATGGGACTTATGTCTGGCAATGGGGAGAAAACACAATATATTTGTAACGAATTGGTAGTGCCCTGAGAGAAAACAGGTGTTATGAGAATCAGGTACATAACTTAGATGGAGGAGGCAGCAGAAACCTTGCTAAAGGAAGTAACATTAATAAAAACTCAAAAGGAGGGCCTCCCTGGTGGCGCAGGGGTTAAGTCTCAAAGCTATCAAGCTATCACCAGCCATTGCTGCCTGAGTTCAATCCCCAGCCAGGGAGCTGACCCACAGGGCAGCAGACCTCTCCTGTCTCACCTGCTGCTCTCCTCAGCAGTGTATTTCAGTAGATCCACCTGTTCTGCATTCCACTCTGTTATGGTGAATCTTCTCACCCCTGCACCTCTAGCCTATACCCCAGTTCTTGAATGCATAAAATAGATCTTTAAAAAAAGAAAAACTCAAAGGAGGAAATATGAAATGGCCAGGAAGAGACTGAAGGAAAACAAGCTTATAGGACTGGGTTAGCTTGTGGGTGAACAGCATTATAGGCTGAGGCACTGAGGAGAAAGGAGGTCTGTCAGCTTTAGGAGCTAATGAAAAGCCCCTATCCCTACTAAGATAGGAGCTGAGGTGGTAAATACTGAGTTCCAGTGTTAGGGAAGCCAGGGAGCTTCGTGAAGACCACATTAAGAACTTTGTATTTTACTCTTAAGTTTAGACGTGGAAGTGCCTTTATGTAATTTTAGAAGATGGCTCTGGCTTTGGTGTGGAGAATGCAATGGAGGGGTATGGAGAGCAGGATAAAGGACAAAAATGGAAGTAGTAAGCTGTAGGGAGTCTCTGAAGTAAGTCAGAGAAGTGAAGGTGATCAGTAAATTTAGTGGAGGCAAACAAAAGTAAATGGAATTATCGGGTTGTTGGAAAAGTCGTGACGTATTTTTTATGGTTTGGTTGCAAAAATGTATCTTGACTTTTCTGACAATCCAATAATAGGTAATCTGTCAGTAGTCAAAGGAATGCAGGGCCCTATTAGCTTTCTAGAAATTTGCCCTTGAACTTTGTTCATAAGAGAGTCTGCTTTCCCAATTCTTTGAGACCATAAAATAAGGATTTCAATATTACATTGAATCATTCAGGATGGAAGCAAAGGAATATTGGAACTACTTCAAGAGGAAAGACATTTACTTCACAGAGAAGAGTTAAAAATAGGAACTAGCAGGCTATGTGGAAGAAAACAAAGAGACCTGTACTGCATGTAAGCATTTTAAGGAAAATGAAAGCTAGGCTTTTATTGCTTTTATTGTACTGGAGCGGGAGAAAGAAGTTGTGTCATTTTCTCCACTGATTCACTGGGAAAATGCACTTAGGTTCTCCCCCCCAAAAAAAGTTTAATGAATTGTCACCTTTTTGAATGAAATTGATGATGCAAAGTAAAGCCATGATATCATTTGCAGACTGCCAGAAAGCTGATTTAATCAGAAAGCAAAACAATTTAACAGGAAGCTAACTTTTGCATGAATTTCAGCCATCTTGATTGTATTCATTAACAGTAAGATCAACTCTTTCCAAGATTGTTTATTTTGTTATCTATTCACTTAAAATAATTCTTAACTCTTAACCCCCCAAATGTGATAAGAAATAATTATTAATGTTAAATATATTCAAGTAAATTTTTCAGTTTTCTTTTTTTTCTTTTTTTTTAAGATTTATTTATGCATACAAGAGCAGGGGTATAGGCCAGAGACATGGGGGGTGAGAGGATTCGCCAGAGACCGTAGGGAACAGAACAGGCAGACTGACTGAAATACACTGCAGAGGGGAAAAACGGGTGAGACAGGAGAGGTCTGCCACGCCATGTGGATTGCTGGGGCTCAAACTCGGGCTCCAGTGGCTGCGGATATAGATTCATACGTTGTGTCTTAACCCCTTGCACCACCAGGGAGGCCAGGTTTGTTTGGTTTTTTTAATAGGTTTCAAGGATTTGAAACAATGTATTCATAAATTTTTGGCTCAGTTTCTGGCATATGTCTGAGTAAGTGGGTCCTGTTGCCTTTATGCCCATTTGTTTTTAGAGATGGGAAAGTGGATTAAGGATAGCCACACATTCTTTGACATTATCACCCCCTTCTGCTATAAATGAAGTTTTTGTCCCCTCCCCTTGAATCTGGATGTTCTCTTCTTGACCAATAAGAGTTTCGCCCTTTCCTTGTGAGTGGATTCTGTTTCAGTGGATTCTGTTTCAGTCTCTCTTGAGGTGACTGGTAGTTTCCACTTCCTGTCTCTTCAAGTATTTTCTCTTGGACCCAGCGCCATGTTGTGAAAAAAACAAAGCACCCTGCAGAGACCTACATAGACTGGAACAGAAACACCCTCACCTCCACCCAGCCAGTCTTCTGGTCAACACCCACAACTGAGCTCTCCATCAAAAGGCAATACTAATTGCCCAGCCATATAAGTGAGTGAGACATATAAGTGCCCCTACGAGGAGCCAAGACCTGTTCAAATTGCAGGTTAGTGAGCAACATGATTTTTCCAAGCCAACAAATTTTCAGGTGACTTGTAACAACAATTGATGACCAGAACAGATAAAAGTTGTTTCCTTCTCCACTCTGATCCCATAGGTGCTTCAGCAGCAGAGTGAGCAACTTTATTTGGTCTTGAAAAAAATGTGTGATCTATAGAGAGAAAAGGTAATGAGGAAATTTGCTGAGTTTGCTTAAACAGAACTTGGTCCAGTTAATCAGCAAATCTTTTTCTTTTACATAGTACTCCTGAGAACTGATCTCACCCCAGATAGAATTGTGTCTTGGAAACCATGTTGTCGTTCCACATCCCATTGATAGTTATTTTATACCCATTTCAAGACCACCCGATTAATTCAGGATCTCCATCTGATCCTTGGATTTTACTAAACCGTAACTTAAATTTCTCTAGACCAGTGCCATACATTTCGCCAAACGGTATGATGCAACCCAGTATGGCTGGTGCAATCAAGAGAAACCAGCTTTAGGGAATCCTTATGTGAAATCTGCCAGTTTTGGAGGAGACTTTGTGATTGTGTTGTTCAAAATGATTCTGGCAACTTTTTTTTTCTGTCTTTCCATTTTATTAAAACTCAAATAATTACAAAGTGTGAGATGAAAAAAGCTTTCAAATGAAATTGCTGGATTCTTATTGCATAATGATAGACAACCACACGTTAAATTTTCACTGTCGACAAATTAGGAAAAAATATATCTACTTTTTTTAGGTTGTGGAACTCAGTAACTGTGAAGAAACCCAACTGATGAAATACTTTTAGAACGTGAAAGCCAACAATACATTTTTGTTTGATCAACATCTGGTGAATCACTGACAGTCCATTACAATTTTCTAATTTATGTATCCTCTGTTGGTTATATTTAATGACAATATAATATAATTAATGATAATATAACTCAATGATTCTGGCAACTTTATCTTGCCTAATTAGCCAAGAAAGCAGTAATTGGGAGAGCAAGATACGGTGTCAACAAGACATCCGCTTGTTGCAATGAGACTTTCCTTCCACGAGAGGGCGTGACGGCCTTGCAAATAGACGTCTGCGTTATCTGATAAAAGTAAGGGATTGAGTGAAAAGATTTGCAATTTACAGTGCTCTGAAATCCTCCTTTAAACGACTTCATCATCATCTTCATCCTGTAACTTATGTCCACATTGTAATTCAGGAAGTTGCGGCTCCTGGCTTCGATCCCTCCCTCCAGCCATAAAATGGGAGTGGCGGGAGCAGCCTGGCTACGCCGCGCCCGGCCACGTCCGGGAGCAGGTCCCGGGGAGCAGGGGCGGCGGGGTGGGGGGGTTGGGCGTCCCTTCCCATCCTTTCCCCTCACTTCCTCCACCTCCCGGCCCCGCCCCTGCGTCGGGCAACACGCACCTGTGATTGGCTGTCGGGAGCCGCCGGCGACGGAAGGGAGCGCGGTGGCCATGGTAACGGGGGCGGGGCCGGGGTCAGTAACCGACGCGGGGACGCCGCGGTCGCTGCGGCGCGCGCGGAGCGGTCAGGCCGGCGAGGAGGCCCGGCCGCCCTTGGCCGCAGCCGGGGAGCCCGAGCGCCGGCCTCGCGCGCGCGCCCGGAGCCGGCCGGGCTGTGAGCGGCCGCGGCCTTGGCGGCGAGGCCTCCCTCCCTGATGCCGCTTGGGGCTCCGCGGAGCAGCGCGGAGGCCGGGCCCGGGCCGCGGGCGGGGTAGGCGGCGCCCCGCGCGGCGTGGATGGGCGGCGGCGATGGACGGCCCCGAGGAGGAGAGCTTCGCCCTGGCCTTGTGCGTGGCGCCGCCCGGCCCGGGGCTGGAGGCTGGAGGCTGGGCCGACGCGGGGCGGGGGGGCGGGAGAGCGGGAGGGCGGGCGCCGCCGGCGGGGCCGGGACTCCGGGGGGCTCCACGCGACGCCCAACACCCCGTCGCAGCCCCGGGCCCCGGCCCTCGCCGGCAGCAGCACCTCGCGGGCCGGAGGCCGCCCCCGCCCGGTGGCCCGCGCAGCCGCGGCGAGAGCCGGGGGGATCCAGGGGGGCCTCGGATGCCACCCACGGCCCCCGTTGGGTCCTTTTGTAGCTCCCTGGGCCCCACCACATGGCCCAGAAAACGTTTTCAGGTTTCCTGAAAGTGGTGCGGTCGCGTTTACCTGCAATACCACGGCTGGGTTAAGTGTTTCCTCTGTTTGGATTTGGTAGATGAGAAAGTCGCCATTCTTAGTTGACTCTTGGGGGTTGGGGGCTCTTTTTGCCAGTCTTTTTTCTTTTGTGCATGTTTGAAGGCGTCAATCGGAAATTTTTTTTTTTTTAACTAATTTGAAGCAGCACCTAATCCAGGCATCTTTTGTAGCTCTTCCTCCTCTGATGCGGAATTTGATACTGTGGTTGGATACTTAGAGGATATCATCATGGGTAAGCCGCCTCGCCACGACTTGACCCTGTGCTGTTTAATTCTCAGACTCTTGCTTTTATGGACTCTGAGGTTGATTTGGAGAGATGATTTATAAGTGAAGGAAGACAGCAAGCCCCGTATAATTTTTAAGATAGCACAATGTAATATTAAGTAAGCCTGGGTGTGTTGTCTTAGAAGCAAACAGCCAAAGTTCGTTGTTCTTAAAACAAGGGCTAGCCATCCATTCAGAGGCCTGAAAGGACTTATTCAAGTAATGGAGCACCTGGAAGTCGTTACCGGGCCCTTGGTAATATGTCAGGAGATAGATCTCCTTTATTTCACAGTTAATAGGAGCCTTTTCGTGGAGCGCTAACATTTTCATGCCTGAAACACAGTATAACCACAGCACATTAACTTGAAGAAAACAAGGTGCCTTTCTTAAGCCGGTTCTTTTTTTAAGCTGGCTAAGCTGGTTCTGTATTTTCTTGGGTTCTGAGTTTTGTATCTGTGGATCCATGTAGGTATCCATAGTCCTAAGCAACAGACAAGCAGTGACAGGTAACAAACTTTTAATACAAATGATGTGGAGAGAAAAACTTAAATTTTGAGAAGCATTCTGTACTGACTGAATTTTCTGAGAATTAGGGAAAGAACACTGTCTTTCAGTGTTGCTTGGCTGTATTTCTTAGTCTCATTTAGTGTGAAAATCACTGACCCAGTTTTTATGCCTTCAGGTCCTATGAAAGTTCATGAGCTGAACACTTAAACAGGTGTTTCACCATTAAGCTTCTGTCTCATTTGCACCTCAGGGTTTCTGGGGAATACTAAGGAGATTCTCAGTTCTTTAACCCTTTATGAGTCGTGTGTTTGCTGTGGAGGGAAATAAACCATTTGGAAGCCCAGAATATGTATTCCAAAGTATAGTTCATTTGTCAGCACTTTCCTTTTTAGAAATATCTTTAGTTGTTTGAGTTTCCTATTCCCTAACACTTAAGTGTCCTCTGTGAATTGGTTCACATGCATTCTCATCTAAATCCCACATAATCCTAAATGGTAGGGACTATGATCATCCTCATTTTCTAGATAAGGAGACCTTTAGACAAATAATAACATGCCCCAGGTGTAGCTGTTATAGGGCAGCCCCAATATTGAACGGGTTGCCTGGCTGTGGGTCCTCACCTGCACGCTTAAAAGGGACTTATTAATACTCCACTACAGGCACACACAAAAGGTTAATAAAAGGTTTATTTACAAGGGAAAAGGAAATAAGGAAAATGTACAACTCAGGGAGAAAATAGGGAAATAAAGTCTTTAATGCGTCCTACCCGATCCGCCAACCTGGAAACCCAAAAAGCACTCTCAGAGCTGGCCGGACGCTGCGAACTGGCGGGGAGCCAAAATGGGGGACCCCTCCAAAGCCCACGTGTCTGGCTTTATACCAGCCTGGCTGCTTAACCCCACCCTCAGGTCCCAGCCACCTTCCCTTTGGTGGTGATGGGATTTGGAGTTCCCAGTGTCTTTGGCTTTGGCCTGGGGTGGGGGTGGAGTCCACAAAGCCTGTGTGGAGTTAGCATTAGGACATCCTTTTCCCCCTAACATAGCCATTATCAGCCCAGCTACACTGTTTTCACCACCACTGCTGAAATATTAAAATAAGAACCAATTCTGGTGGCCTATGGGTTAAGTCTCAGTGCTATCACCGCTGTGGCCTGAGTTCGATCCCTGGCCAGGGAGCTGATCCACATGGCGCAGCAGACATCTCCTGTCTCACCCACTGCTCCCCCTAGCAGGGTCTTTAGGTAAATCTGCCTGTTCTGCACCCCTGTGTCTGGTGAATCCTCTCACCCCTTACCTCTGGCCTACACGCCAGTTTTTTTACGTAAAAATAATTTTAAAAAATAAGATCCAATTCCTTCCTTTGAAGGCGTGTCGAGCCACCTGTGTGAATGTGCTTGAAATGGAGTGGCAGATGGCGTGATGTTGCATACAGTGAACATACTTAACACCACCAAACTGTATTTATAAATGATTAAAATTGTAAATGCTATGTGTATTTTACCATTTTTTTTTACAAGTGGTGAGACAAGTTCATCTATTGCAACCATTTAAACACTTCCCTAAGACACCTCTTAGCGAGAGGTTATTGAGGAAACAATCTACTGATCTAAGTGCTATTATAAGTTAGAATGAGTTTCCATCTCTGTTAAAAATAATATATTTTTTCCCATTGTGGTTCAGATGACGAGTTCCAGTTATTACAGAGAAATTTCATGGACAAGTACTACCAGGAGTTTGAAGACACGGAGGAGAATAAACTCATCTACACGCCTATTTTTAATGAATATGTAAGTGGATTTCTATGTCTTACTTGGAGATTAGGATTTCTTTGAAATGGGCCTTTAAGATCAAAAGATGGGGGGCCTCCCTGTGGTGCAGGGATTAAAGACAAAGCAATATCAAGCTATCACCAGCCACTGCAGCACGAGTTCAATCCCCAGCTGGCTGGGAGCTGACCCACATGGCCCAGCAGACCTTTCCTGTCTCCCCGCTGCTCTTCTCAGCAGTGTATTTCAGTAGATCCACCTGTTCTGCTCCCCACTCTGTCTCTAGTGAATCCTCTTACCCCCTGCACCTCTGGCTTATACCCCAGTTCTTGTATGCACATATAAATCTTTTAAAAAAAAAAAAAAAAAAGGTCAAAAGATGTTAAGATTTGCTCCACTTGTAAAATCTGCCACCAGTACATGCCAGGAATTCCAATTAGAATCAGGCTTAGTTCTTATCTCCTATTATTTCCCTCTGCACAGCTCCTGGAGCTGTCTTCCAAATGTTTAATCATTTTGCCAACTTCTATTTTATTTATTTATTTTTAAAGATTTATTGCTGAGAGGAACTGAGGTATGGGTAAGAGGATTCACCAGAAACAGTGGGGAGCAAAACAGGCGGGTTTACTGAAATACGCTGCTAAGGGGAACAGTAGGCAAGACAGGAGAGGTCTGTTGCGCCATATGGGTCAGCTCGTTGGCCTGAGATCGAATTTGGTCCCTGGTGGTGATAGGGTGATAATAGCACTGAGACTTAACCCCTAGGCCATCAGGGAGGCCCCCCAACTTCTATTTTAGAAGAGGTGTGACTTTATTATAATGCTGCTTTCAGTTACAATATGGGTATTCCACATACCTTGTATTTATATACTTTTGACCTTTTTGCTGTTAAAAAAAAAATTCTACTACATAATCTAATCAAGTATGCATGGCGATTAGGTAAAGATCACAGTGTGACCCAGATCACGCGCTAGTTGGTAGCAAACTCAAGACTTGAACCCTGCAACCCCAACCTTTTCCGGTAAACCTGGAGCAGCCTCCTAGAAGGATCTCATTCATTTAAGGACAAGTTTGAGCCTCAGGACTTAATAAAGTAGGAAGAGCAGGTGTCTTCTAGGCAAGCCTCAGCTTGTCAGGAACCTGCGAGTGCCTCCAACTGTGGTTTTCTGTGTGTTTCTCTTGCACAGATTCCATCTATACAGGAAGCCCCCACTTCTTTCCTGCCCTGGAAAGGTTGTGAGTCCAGCTGCTCCTGGTTTCCCTGACTTTAGCATTTGCCTTGTTACAGCAGAAGGACCTGGAATGCCACTCCCCCATGCTTGGGAGAGGCTGAGTGCTTCTCAAGGACAGGAGTGGTGTTTGGTTCCCTTCAGCAGTTCTAGCACTCACTCTGGAGCATGGCACATAGAGCAGAAAGGACTTTCAAAAGTGTTTGACCAAGGCCCCTTCATTGTTACAGATTTCTTTGGTAGAAAAGTATATTGAAGAACAGCTGCTGGAGCGGATTCCTGGATTTAACATGGCAGCGTTCACCACAACTTTGCAGTGAGTTTTGTGCAACGCCTTGGTTATTCTGTTTTTTTGGTTTTTTTTTTACCTCCCTCCTTCAGTCTAAAAAAGGACACTTTTTCTTCGAGTGCTTGCAGGTCAAGGCTTAGAGCAAATGCTGTGAATGATTGGGTTCCTGGTGGGAAGCCCTCAAAACCTTTGAATAGAATCCTGCAGAGACGGGGTCTGTCAGGATCCAGCTGTGAACCTGCTGTCCTTTTCTTTGCAGGCACCATAAGGATGAAGTGGCTGGTGACATATTTGACATGCTGCTCACATTTACAGATTTTCTGGCTTTCAAAGAAATGTTTCTGGACTACAGAGCAGTAAGTCACTGTTACCTGTGTAGTTAGCCACAGTGAACTACTAGGAAAGTTCCAAATAGAACACAGGCCACCTCCCACACTTCTCCCCATAAGAAAAATATTTTTCAGCCAAGATAGGTGACCCTGGCCAGTGTTGAGCATAAACACAAAATGACCTCCTTCCCCTCCTGTGTGCACTCCCTGGTGATCAACCTTCACCCTGAGCCGCCCTCCCTCTGCCAGGGTTCTGAGCTAGAAAGAACTTTTTTCCTATTCCTTCACTCTTTTTTTTTTAAAGATTTATTTACTTATGCATACAAGGACAGAGGTGTGGGGGGTGAGAGGATTCACCAGAGACAGAGTGAGGAGCAGAATGGGTGGATCTACTGAAACACACTGCTGAGGGAAGCAGCGGGCGAGACAGGAGAGGTCTGCTGCGCCATGTGGGTAGCTCCCTGGCGGGCCAGAGATAACTTCACAGTGCTGTGTTTAACCCCTTGTGCCACCAGGGAGGCCCCTATTCCTTCACTCTTGAATTTTTTTCTTTTCTCCATAGGAAAAAGAAGGCCGGGGGCTGGACTTAAGCAGTGGTTTAGTGGTGACTTCGTTATGCAAATCATCTGTGCCAGCGTCCCAGAACAATCTTCGCCCCTGAGTCCTTCCACGGGGCAGTGGGATCCCATCTCAACATCTCCAGCCCAGTAGAGACTGGGAGGGGCCTCTGGTACTGACGACTGAAGACGACATCTTGGAAGGACTGCACTGCAACGCCTCGTTCACGTGAAGTATTGATGGGTCGAAAAGAAAACTACCTGACCCCCTGGGCCCTGTTCTCCTGCAACACCTCCTTGTGCCCAGTGACCCAGACACTCCTCCCCCAGCAGACAACCCTTTCTCCTCGACTGGGCTCTGGAGCAAGCGTTCCACTCGGAGCCCCTTGCCCAGCCGTATATGTTGGTGTGTCAGCCCGGAAAGCCACCACCAGCAGGCTTTGCATGACTTTTTTTGGGCACCCACAGCATTTTACATGTACCCAGGTTTCCATCCTTCCGCCTCCATGGGGTTTTTGACTGGGAGTATTTATCTAGGGTGTTTTTCGGGGCAGCTGCCCATCTGGAGATTTCTGAACTGCAGTACTTACAGCTCATCTTCACTGTAGGAATCAGCTGAGTGATGTCATTTACCTAAGAACTGTGCGTGAAAACCAATTCCCAGCTTACGTCTGGAGTCCTGTCATCAGTGTCTCCTGCCAGGCCTCATGTAGTCCCACTGTTTCTAAAACTCTCTTAAGCATTTTTGTAAAAAATATTTTTCTAGATGAATACTCAGGCTGAACTAACCTAGTGGACATAATCTTGGCACTTCCATGATTGCCCACTTAAAGATCAAAGTATTATATGCTATGTGCTGCTTAGTTGCTAGAGCGGTGGAAGCAGGTGCTCTCTGTCGGCATTCCCACCCGCCTGGGCGCCAGGGGGCCTGTGCGCACGCTGGGGGCCGACTGCGGCTTTCCTCTCCTGTGGCATGGTAAGTGTTTGTGCAGGTTTGCTTAAAACTCTCTCTGTATAAGTCATTTGTTAAGTTTTCTGTTGGGGAAGGGGCTCTAATTCCTTCTTCCTGTCAAAACCTTCCTACCAAGATGGTATTTCCCTAGCCTAGCTCAGTATGAGTAGGAGAGAATACTGGTCACCTGTCTGCTTTGATGCATTACAATGTTTGATACAACATTACTGACTGGAAAACAAGTCCCATTTATAGAAAGAAGAAAAAACATAGTAGTTCCAATTCCCATTGTGTACCTTAGATTTAAAAAAAAAAAATCTGTACCGACTTTTCACTTGGCTGTTGGCGGTTTCAAAGGATGGGCTATGTGTTTTCCTGTACCGATGGTGTGTCTTATTAAATACTTTTATACCATGAGTAAAATTCGAGACATTTTGCAAGAATCCTCATTCTAAGGGACTCTCGCTACACTGTCTGCTCACCCAGAGACAGCTTTAGCCGCCTACCCTGGCCGTGCTTCCTCCTCACTCCTTCACTGACTTGGGGAAGCACCTGATGAGGATCTGTGGCTGGTCTGCCTGATTAAGACTTAAGACAGGTGTGGGTAAGTTCAGAGATGAAATCATGGAAAATGAAGGAGAAAAAAGGTAATGGATTCTTCTCACCCTTTTCTACTCAGAGAAAAAAGCAAACAAGACTATTGTGGCTTTCTGTTAGAAGACAGAGTTTCTGGTTCCTTTTAAAGCAAACTAGAGAATCTGTCTCTGCATCCACACAGGAACGTACATTACTACCTTCCGTGGGGCCATGGCCTGGCCCACGCTAGAAAACCTGGCGCTGTGCCCCAGCCTCAGGAGACCATGCGTTTTGTCATCACGTAGGCCTCCTTACCCAGACTGCGAAATTAAGGAACAGGTAGGCATTGGCCTGAACCAAAAGGTAACATATCCACTGAGATTGGTGTCAGAAGCCTGACAGGACTTGCCCAGAATTTTGTTTTCTCTTAAGCCTCAAAGGAAAGACTTGATCGTCCTTAAAACTGAACTCTTGTCTCACAGCTGAATCTTAGAAAGATGACTACTAAAACTGAGAATCTTGGAAGTAAAAAGGGATACTCCTAATAGTTATACCCAAACTATATGCCCGATAAACTGGGCTTGCCCCAGGCTAACTGGGAGATGGGGAGCTGACTTAATTCCCAACTCTTTGGTAATGGAGTAGCTCATCTGCAACTGGTTCAATCTAGTTAAATTTTAGCTGCTCCCAGTTTTCTTTAAAAAAAAAAAAAGGTGGGTGGGGGAGGCCTCCCTGATGGCCCAGGGATTAAGTCTCAGGACTGTCACCACGATGGCCACGATTCCCGGCCAGGGAGCTGACCCTCATGGTGCAGCAGACGTCTCCTGTCTCACCTGCTGCTTCCCTCAGCAGAGTAGTTAAGTCAGTCCACCTGTTCTGCTCCCTATTCTGTCTCTGGTGACACACACCCACACACACCTCTGGCCTATACCTCAGTTCTATGCATAAATAAATCATTTAAAATTTTTGAGAAAAAGACCAAGGGATACCTAGAAATTCCTTTGTCATGCTGCTCTGTGGTGGAAAACAAACTCAAGAGGACTCAGCTGCTTCCCTCCAGCCCCCAGTGTCTGCCAGCTATGGGCACCTAGCATGGCCACTCACTTTGGTTGTATGATCTCTCAACTTCATGAACTTCCAAGGTAAATGATAGTGTGGGAATTTAAGTTCAGCAAGACAACCCAACTTGCCTAAAGCTAAGACTTACATAACAGTATTAACGTGGGGTCCTTCTGAGAATAGAAGGGCCACTGAACAGGACTGTCCCATACAGCAGGCAGGAAGCCGGTCAGCCCACCTCATGGCCGGTGGAGCAGAAAAACTCGGGGACTAGAACTGCCCTGGGATGCAGTTCGGAACCTTTGCATGACTGTATCCTGCAGCCTTCTGGCATTTATAAACATGACCACGCATCACCAACATCTTTTCCAAATAAGTTTTTCCATCTTTATTTTTGTAAAAAAAAAAACAACAACAAAGTCACGAAGTCACAACCAAGCACTTGACAACTCACCTGGCTAGGTCTTGATTCCCTCCCTCCCTCATCCTGGTGCCTGATCGGCGTATTAGCCTTGCCCAAAGGGAATATTACAAACAGGGCTTGGAAAAGAATGAGGAACATGGGGTCCAAATCACTTAAAACCAACTGGCTTTAAATAACCAGTGTGCCCGGAATGTCTGAAAGGAACCAGCTGTCAGGAATCATGACCCTCTTCCGACTGGTGTGCCCTACAGGTGACATGTTGGCTTAGGGGAGGGCTGGCAAGGAGCCGTGCTCGGTGTTTTCCAGACAAAGACTGAGATAAATACACATTGCTTGTTAGGTTATTCTAGAGCAGGCCAGGGGCTGTGGTCTGGAGTTCTTGTTAGTGCATTTAGTGCTGGTGAGGGCTGGGCCCCAGTCCCTGACACAGAAGTCCTCAAAAGGCAAAGCAGAGACAGTAAGATCCCCGTATCCCCCGTCACCTTCTGCTGAATAAGGGGGAGAGGGTAGAGTTCCTGGCCGCTGGGCTTGTTCGGCCCACAGGCCTGGCAGACCTGGACCAGACCCGAGGAAGGACCCTGTGTCCTGGGGAGTGTTGGATGAGCTGGAGTCTGATGAGCCAGAGAGGAGCAAGTGTGGTCCCGTCTGGGCAGACCCCACACCCAGGGTTCAGGCCTGGGTTTGCAGGCACCCTGCACTGTGACTGGCCATGGCACCGGTGGTTTAGGCGTAGCCCCCGGCCATCTGACTGGTGGCTGCATTGCTGCCTACTCCTCGCCAGGCCTGGAAGCTGAAGAAAGCACTCACTCCGTAGGCGATCATCGCTAAGCAGGAGAAGAACTGAAAGAGAGGGAAGGACATGACAGGCTGAGTAGTCTGCAGCGTGCCGTGGGGGGGGGGGGAGAGGGGGGGGGGGTGCTAGAGACTGTAGCAACAACCAGAAGGTCTCAGGCCCACAGCACAACCGTGAGGAGCAACCCCAAACCAGGAGTTGCTACTGCAGCAACTCCTACCTAGCCGTGCGCTTGTTTAACAACTTTATGGGGGTGGGGGAGGCGCTGGTGGGTGCAGGTTCTGGGAGCGCTGAGCTTACATTTTAAGAGTGGGAGACCGTTAATAACCACATGGGCGGGGCCTCCCCGGTGGCGCAGCGGTAGAGCGCTGGGTTGCCCGCGGCCTCTGCGGTGCTGGTTCAATCCCCGGCTGCTCCCCGGCCACCGGAGGAGGGTCCCACATGGCGCGCAGACCTCTCCTGCTGCCCGCTGCTCCCCTCAGCAGTGTACTTCGGTCCTTCTGCCTGCTCTGCCCCTCGCTCTGGCTCTGGTGAATTCTCTCACCCTCCCGCGCTTCTGACTGTACCCAGTGCATGTATAAACAAAACAAACAAGCAAACAAATAAATAAAGAAAAACATGCCTCTATAAAAAAAAAAAAAATAACCACATGGGCAAGCCAAACTGATAAGGGCAACTGGGCATGTGCTATGAGTGCCTGAGGGGTAGGAACAACTTTGACACGTATCAGGGATTTCATTTTAAAAAGGGAACCTTCAAAGCCACCTGAGGAATTTTCCAGAACCCACACTAACACCTGTGGCTGAAAAACTCCATGTCTCTTATCTCAGTGATTTTAATTTACTGCTTTCAAAACCTACCGGGAAGCAAAGCCTTGAGTCCTGCACTAGCTCCAGCCTCCTCTAGACTGAACCCCACTGAGCCTCGCTTTCCTGGTCTAGCCTCACTGGGGGAGTCAAGGACCCTGGGAGGAAATGTCTGTGCAGGGCCTCAAGGAGGGAGCTGCGACAGCTGTGGAGGAGGCTGCTGTCTGTCACTTCTCTGGTCACTTGGTATGGAACCCAAGTTTGAGCTTCATGGGAGGCCTGTTACTCCCCAAAAATAGTTTGAATCCAAAAGCTTTAGCAAGAGGGGGAGGTTGATAGTTTTTAACGTTCTCCAAGGGGCCCTCAATCCATGAACCTAGAATTTCCTTCACCCTCAATCCAAGGGGCCCTCAATCCATGAACCTAGAATTTCCTTCACCACCACAAAGTGTGTCCCAAGCATTCTAGTTCCTTGAGGTGTTACTATTAATTATGGAACCCCAAAAGTGGGTTCAGCTCCCCTGAGACCCACTTAGAGTCTGGATAACCCCTTAGGTGGTGGCACGTATGTGCCCTCACACCAAGGAGCAGTGGGAGACCAGGGTTGGCTACTTCCCCTGTAACTGCTGAGGGTACCCCAAGGCCCATACTCACGGAGGCAGCTGCACGTTGGTTATACGGCCGGGAGCCTTTCAGGGATGTCAGCTCAACGACAGCAGAGCAGGTGATGAAAGCCGTGATGTAGAGAACAGTGGCGCCCATGTTGAATATCATTAGCTGGGGGTCAGGCAGAGAAAGGCTTAAGACATAGACTAATAGCGAGCTAGAGCAAGGGCTAGGGCCTTCCTGGTGGCGCAAGGGGTTAAGCACAGCATTGTGAAGCTCTCTGCTGTCTGCAGCACTAGTTCCCCGGATGGCCAGGGAGCTACCCACATGGCCCAGCAGACCTCTCCAGTCCTCCCCCAGCTCCCGTCAGCAGTGGATTTCAGTCAGTCTGCCTGTTCACCTCCCCGCCTTCCTGCACCTCTGGCCTGTACCCCAGTTCTTGTATGCATAAAAAAAAAAGCGCAAGGATTGGGGCTCAAGGATGGGGAGGGAGACCCTGAGTCTCTCCCACTAACAATAAAAGGGGCTTAGGAGGCGGCATCCACCCCGGTTGGGCTCTGCCTGAGCAGGGAGTGAAAACACCTCAGGCTGAGAGGAGGGAAACTTATGGGAATCCTGGAGTGAGCTGGTCTGGACAGGGACAGGCTCCGGGAGGGAAAACCCATTCTAACAGCAAGAGGTCGAACCCAGGCCACCTCTGGCGCGGGTCGCTCCTCCACATTGGCTCAGCCCAGCCCAGTGTAAGGTAAGTAAAATACCTGGCTTTTCTGCCCTCCCGCCATTAGGATAGATGAGGGAACCCTGAGGTCCCAAATGCATGCCTGATGGCGGGCTCCTGGAGCAGGGTGTGGGCATATGTACATGGGATTCACCTGGGCCGAGACTGGGCTTTTAAGGGCGGCGTCACGGGGACACCAGCAGAAGCCGAGAAGCAGAAGCAGAACCACCGGAGAAGGCCAGAGAGCCCAGACAGAGTGAAGACTTGCTGAAGCCCCCCTGCCTGCCATGTACCCGGTAAATCCCAATAAAAGCCTGCAAAAGCCACTGAGGGCTCCAGGACTCTCTCCTCCGTTACCCGGCCTGCCGTGACACCAGGCCCTCCCTGTGGCCACTGCACACGACTCTCTGGTGGGCTGTCGGGCTGAGGCCCCACATCCCTCTCTGCCCCCAGTGGGAGGAACCTGTCTCCCTTTTGGCCACACCCTAGGCTCAAGGCCCCGTGTCAAACGCCAAGAACTCCAAGCCAGATGGGAGGGCTCTGAGCAGACTACCAGGCAAGGTCCCACTCCCCAAAGCTCGGTCCCTGCAGCTTGTTAACAGCCTTTGCAGCAACTGCAAACCAGCAGTCCTCAGCCATGTTTGGTTCCACCCATAGATTTTTTTTTTAAACATTTTTACTGGATTTGTTTTTTTTTTAATTTTTTTTTTAATTTATACAAGAACCGGGGTACAGTCCAGATGCGAGGGAGGGTGAGAGGATTCACCAGAGACAGAGCAGGGAACAGAACAGGCAGACTGACGAAATACACTGCTGAGGGGAGCAGCGGGTGAGACAGGAGAGGTCTGCTTTCCATGTGGGTGGCTCCAAGGCCAGTGGGGATGGAACCGGCACTGCAGAGGCTGCAGACAGTTTCACAGCGCTGCGCTCAACCGCCTGCGCCACCAGGGAAGCCCCATAGATTTTTGTAAATTACCAACATTCTAGAATTAGATTTCATATAAAACTTTCAATCTTAATAAGATTTGGCACCGAGGGGCCCACATTCCCACTAACCACAGTTAGAGCTGAGTAGGGGCAGCTGTTTGGACAGACGGTTGTGGGTTCTCCAGAATCCCCTCCTGACCCACTTCACATACCATGCTTGGGCCCTGCTGGGGGCTTGTAGCCTCCACCCCCGAAAATCCAGTTTGACACTACTAATCCAGCCGCCTCTTGATGCCCTGTGCTAGCCGTTAAAGCCCCTGGAGTCTAAGTTGGCAACAGCTGTGGCAGGACCCTCAGATCTGTGCCTAAGAGAAACCGAGGCCCTCCATCAGAGATTTTTCTCCAAGGCTCCTGGGACGTGAGGCAGAGGCTGGACCCTGGGCCAGGAAGTCAGGCATCCCCCTCCTCGCCCCACGATCTTCCCTCCAAGCCCAGCGCCGGCCACAAACACCGCCTGGCTCCTGCCAGCGATGTCAAGATCTAACAAACCGGGTCTGTCTTAAGGATGACTCACGTTTCCTCGGTTTAAAAAGTCATTGAATTCCAAACAATGCTGCCTAGTCCCAGCCTTGCTTGTCTTACAGTCATGTGCCTCTCTCGCCTCTCTGCTGCCTGAAAGCCTCAGACCCCAGCTGCAGGAGTTTTCCGGGTCAGAGAAAAAAAAAACCAGCAGCCTTTTGTGTCTGGCCAGGGTGCTTCCTATGGACGCTCAGCCCTGTGTCCTGAGGAGACTGACCTGGGCAAACCCGGAACACCACCCGCTCCCGGGCTGCAGGGCCCTGACCCTGGAGGTGGCAGGGTGGACGGCCCTGCTGGCCAGGCCCATACTGGGTCATTCCTACAGTTCAGCCCAATCTCCAGGCCCAGGGCTGCCTGTCTGAGCCCAGCCAGAGCCTCACAGTCCCACAGATTCAATTTGCAACTGCCCCCACAAAGGAAAAACATTTTCGAGATTCCAAATGGCCACTGGTCTCTCCATGCAGCAGCCCCTCACCTCTACTCCCTTCCCGGGAGAAAGGCATGCGTGTCCTCCCACGCACAGTCCTCTGTGCTCAGAAAACTGGACCCCGAACCATCCATCCTCCCTCCCCTGGTTGGCACTTAAGGCCAGCTGAGGGCCAGCAAGAGCCCAGTGGCCCCTCCTCCCCCCACCTTCCTGCCACATCACGTGTAGGGACAGTCACTTCATCACAGCTACTCCCCAAGGCACAGCTAACAGCCTGGAGCCACCCCCAGACCCCCACCAACTCACCACCAGTGGCCAGGGCACCATGTACAGCTTCATATGCAGCTGAAACAGGTAGAAGATGAAGAAGATGATTGTCACCAGCCAGAGGAAGACAGCGACGAACATCACCCAGCCATAGGCCGGGTACAGATGGTACGGGGTGTCGGCAATCAGGGCCCACACCAGCAGCCCTACCACCTGCAGGGGACAAGACAGGGTCAGAAGGTCCCACAGCCCCCTGACCAGAGGCCTCCAGGTCTTTGCCGTGGCTCTCCCTCTGCAGGACGCAGTTCTTAGTAGTCACGAAATGCTCACGGAGCTCTGCTGCACGGTGGCATATACCCAGTCCTGCCTGGAAACTTACTCCTCTTTCAGGTCACACCAAAACACGTGCCCCAGGACCCCTCCTCCTCACCACTCCTCCAGTCTGGGTTCCAGAACCCTCTTTGGAGCTCCCGCAGCCTCCCAGGCACACACCACCACCCCCTGAAGGCAGGACGGGGACCCTCGCACTCCTAACTGGCGCATGTTGTGCCAACAGCCAGCATACAACCCAGCCCCACGGGGCCTCACAACAGCTGCTGAGAGAAAGGCGACGTCACCAGTGTATCCCTGAGGGGTGGACAGAGTCAGTCCCAGCAGCAGGCAACTGAGAGCCCATGTGTCCTCCTCCCAGCTGGCCCTGATGCCCCATGAAACCCTCTGCACCCCACTTTTCTGACTCTAATTGCCTCTCTATACATCCTTACCTTACAGGTGAAACTGGGCCTCAGAGAAGCCAAGGGACCACTCTGTCACACTGTTCCCACAGGGCAGTGGGCCCCAACACCCCAGCTTAGCTAATGGCATGGACACTGGAGTCCACTGCCTGACTTAAAGCCAGCCCCCCTTACCAGCCGTGTGACCTTGGGCAAGCTTGAAACCTCACCGTGTTTTGGTCACCTCACCTCATCTGTCCAGTAAGTGTGATAACCCTATTCCCTACCTCACAGGGCTACATTCAGGGCCTGCAGGTTCATGCACATTAAGGACTAACTGCCAAGGAAGTTGTGGCTTTTTTTTTTAAGATGTATTTATTTATGCATTCAAGAACTGGGGTGCAGGCCAGAGGTGTGGGGGAGGGGGGTGAGAGGATTCACCAGAGACAGAGTGAGGAGCAGAACAGGCACATTTACTGAAATACACTGCTGAGGGGAGCAGCAGGAGAGACAGGAGAGGTCTGCTGCGCCATGTGGGTAGCTCCCTGGCCGGGGATTGAACTCATGCTGCAGTGGCTGCGGATAGCTTCATAGAGCTGAGACTTGGGGACCTCCCTGGTGGCGCAAGGGGCTAAGCACTGCACTATGAAGCAATCTGCAGCCTCTGCAGCATGAGTTCTATCCCCAGCCGGCCAGAGAGCAAACCACATGGCGAGCAGACCTCTCCTGTCTCGCCCGCTGCTCCCCTCAGCAGTGTATCTCAGTCAGTCTGCCTGTTCTGCTGCCTACTCTGTCTCTGGTGAATCCTCTCACACACACCATCCCCCCCCCCACCTCTGGCCTGTACCCAGCTCTTGTATGCATAAATAAATATATATTTTATTTTTTTTTATTTATTTATTTTTATTTATTTATTTATTTATTTATACAAGCACTGGGTATAGTCAGAAGCGCGGGAGGGTGAGAGAATTCACCAGAGTCAGAGCAGGACGCAGAACAGGCAGAAGGACCGAAGTACACTGCTGAGGGGAGCAGCGGGCAGCAGGAGAGGTCCAGCGCGCCATGTGGGACCCTCCTCTGGTGGCTGGGGAGCAGCCGGGGATCGAACCGGCACGGCAGAGGCTGCGGGCAGCTTCGCAACCCAGCGCTCAACCGCTGCGCCACTGGGGAGGCCCTAAATATATATTTTAAAAAATAGATCTGAGACTTAACCCCTTGTGCCACCAGGGAGGCCCGAAGTAGTAGCTTCTATTAGTCCCAGCCTGCAGCCTAAAGGACTCTACAGGGTAGGGTAGCCAGTCTTCCTCAGGGGCACCTGGGGGGCAGGGTGGGGGCCAGCAAGGGGTCTGCTGCAAGGCAGGCACAGGTTGCACAGGGCAGGTCCACAGTGGTACCTGACACGCAGCCATCTCAGCTTCCCCGCACCTCTCGCATGCCATAGGCTGGGTGTCCCTTCACCAGTGCAGGTCAGGTCTTTGGCATGTCCGGGAGCTGGGTGGGGCTCAGGTCAGGGAGGGCTGGGCGCTGGAGAAAGGCTCTTAGCTGATGAAAACGCCCAGCGAGCTAACCCTCTTCCTCTCTGGCTGACCTGGCAGACATTCGGGCACCAGAGCTCACACTGACTTGCCCTGAGGGTGAGGAGTCACCACCAACAGGAACACACTAGGATCCCCTCGCAGTGTGGAGATGCACCAGACCCGCTGGCTGTGGTTTAGGGGGAGCCGCCTCCCCTAGGTGCTCACACCAGGTGATGGGCTGCCACAAGATCCTAGACCCCAACACCGGGGAGAGTGCTCACCTGAAGCCTGGGGACCCACGTACAGCTGCCTGCCAGCACCCCACAAAGCACCCCACAAAAGGCCAAAAGGGAATTTCCAACTGGATCCCCCTACAAAGGCAGGGTCAGGACAGGAGGACCTGAGCTGAGCCCCTGACAACTGACCCCAGGACCAGGCTGGGGAAGGTGCGGCCGCTTCTCTTTCCTCTGCACACGGGGCAGCGCCAGGTGCAGCCTGGGCTTGGGGCCCCGGAGCTGGGCTTCCTCCGGCCTGTGCTGTGAGATGCGGGGCACACACCTTCTCCTCGTCTGTGAAGTGCTCTTGGAGAGGAAACTGTTTTGGTCTCTGCTGCATCTCCAGTGCCCAACAGAGCCCAGCATAAAGTCAATGCTCAATAAATCTGGGCTCAGGAACCAGCAGGCCTGCTTCCTCACCCACAAAATGGGTCAGACGTGGGCCTGCAAGGGCCTGGGTGTCAGAGGGGAAGCAGGTGCTCCAGGCCTGGCCTCCCTCCACCCAGGTCTCAGCCCTGGAAGAGTGTCAGCTACTCTCCAGAGCTCTGTGCCTGCCCCTCACCATCCTGGGGTTAGTCCCCCAGATTCCACCCAATCAGCCCCAATGGCCAGTCTGTGCTTATCCACTAACAGGCGACAGCAGTGGCCTTGGAATCCACTTATAGGGAGGAAGGTAGGACAGGTGACATGGGGGGACAAAGAGCCCTTACCAGGGGCCTCTACACAAGCTCCCCATTTTACCACCACTCTGCCTGAAACAGGGGGCCAAGACACCCCGAGCTGAGGGAGGGCCCTGATGTGCAGGAGATACTCCCGAGGCAGTGCCACTGGGGTGCAGGGGGCCAGGACAGTGTCAGGGAGCCTCACTGACATGTGCTGCCTGGTCCCGACCATCCAAAAGGAAGTTAGAAATGCAATAAACTGAAAATCAAGAAGAGACCAGTTTGGGTCCCACCATGTACACCTGTCAGTTGTGGGTGCGACTCACAGCCTTTGTCACAATAACCACTTAGTGCCCACCCCACCCCACCCCCACCTCCAGGCTGGCAATCAGGAAAGCACCTACTCTTTCATCTCACTCACTCCCCTGCTATTTATTTCCCCATTTTCCAAACATAATCTCAGTGGTAGACAGACAGGCCTGTAGCAGCAAAGGGCACTGCGTTGAAGCGCAGGGCAGGATCTGAACCCAGATGGTCCCCTGTGGAAGCTGGGCTGCTGTGAGTTATTCCAGGACATGCTGCAGGGAGGCAACTGGTGCCAAGGGTCAGGCCCACTGGTACCCAGGCTCTCTGCGCCCGGCCCTGCCCTCTAGCCCTGTCCTGGTTTCCAGCTCAGCAAGCACAGCCTCTGCAGATGGATGAAGCTGCTGGATAAGCAGTGGGAATTTGTGGTGCTCTCCTGGCTTTGCCACCCTGGCCCTGCGCCCAGGTTGCCACTTCAGTTTCTGCGCTAGAACAAGGGTTGTCCACTCCTCCACTGAACCAGACCAACTGGTTTTTCCCTGTCCCCTTTCCCTGCCCCAAGAACCCAAAGGGAGTGCCCTAGCCCAAGGACTCTGGGGAGGCAACGACTCTACTCAGGACAGGGTACCCCATCCCCACATTTGCTGAGCCTCGTAGGGGGAGTTATACCCATGCCTTTTCTCCAGAAGCCGCCTCGATCCTGCTGCCTTTAGCTGAAAGATAAGGCAAGATTTATCTCCTGGCTAGTACAGAATCATAAGCCCCAGGGTTCAGAGAAAAGGAGGGTGGCAGTAGGTAGTTGAGGGGAAAGAGCAAGTCAGAAGGCCCCCTCCCTGCTGCCAGGCTCTCCTACCTGCCTCCAGAGCTCTGCCCAGTCCCCTCTGCCCAGAAAAGCTGCCCCTGGTCATCCCAGCACCCTCTGAGCACAGGTCTTGGCAAGCACATCTCTCTGGGCCGTTTCATTCAAACAAAGTCCATGGGGCACCCCCAGAGCTCTACCACTCTACCACGGGAGCCAGGCAGAACCCCAACTCGTAAGTGAGACACAGTGAATTGCTAAAGTGCTATGGGGAAAAATTCATCTGAGAAGGGGCTAAGGAGGATGGCCAAGGGGACTGCCAGGGGGACTGGTGTGTAGGCCAGAGCTGCAGGGGGTGAAAGGATTCACCAGAGACAGAGTGGGGAGCAGAAGAGGCAGATCCACTGAAATACACTGCTGAGGGGAGCAGCGGGCAAGACAGGAGAGGTCTGTTGTGCCATGTGGGTCATCGGGGATCAAACTCATGCCACAGTGGCTGGTGATAGCTTGATAGCACCATGTCTTTAATCCCTGAGCCACTAAGGAGGCCTGGACTGCAATTTTAGATAAGAGGCCAAGAAGGATCTTGCACAAAGACCCAGGAAGGGAGGGAGCCGTGCAGGGAAGAGCCTTTACCTCTGGGTTCCTATCTCTTGCCTACATCTGTCCCTAGGGTTTTATTTGTAAGTGTCTACATGTACCTAAGCATGTCTTAGACACACACACACACAAATTTCAAGGCCACTCATCTTTCTGAACTCTCTGAGGTGTCTGAACCTGCCAGCAAGCTCTAGAAATCCCAAAGATCAGGACCTTTTCTCCTCTGAAAACCTAAAGATTTTGGATAGGAATTTTCTCTTCAAAGAGGATTGCAATGTCAAAAAGGACACACCCACATATGCCCCAGGACATCTCAACCTCCAAAAGAATATCCAAACAATGGG